AGTCCGCAGGCCGACGCTCTATCCACTGAGCCAAACCGGTTAGGGCGGGATGTTGATTCTTAATTTAGGCTGGTTGACTTGAAGAAACTGCAGACCTGGGAGAAGCTCTGATAACCTAGTAGAAGCTGTGAAGGACATTTACTTTTTTGTTGTTGTTGTTAAACCTCACTGGAGGATATTTTTCCATTAATTTTAGAGAGAGTGGAGGGGGGGAGGGATAGAGACACACAGAGAGAGAAACATCGATGTGAGACACTGATGTGAGAGAGACATTGATTGGTTGCCTCTCCCATGTGCCCGGGGAATTGAGCCTGCAACCAAGGTACATGCCCTTGACTGGAATTGAACCCCAGACCCTTCAATCCACAGACCAACGCTCTATTCACTGAGCAAAACTGGCCTAGGGCCTGGCTAGGGCTTTTTTCTTCTTCTTTTTTAAAAACATATTTTATTGATTTTTTACAGAGAGGAAAGGAGAAGGATAGAGAGTTAGAGAAACATCGATCAGTTGCCTCTTGCACACCACCCACTGGGAATGTGCCCGCAACCAAGGTACATGCCCTTGACCGGAATCGAACCTGGGACCTTTCAGTCTGCAGGCCAACCCTCTATCCACTGAGCAAAACTGGCCAGGGCCTGGCTAGGGCTTTTTAAATCACTGTCTATAGTAGGATATTTGGCTGATTCCATTCTTTTAAAAATATATATATATAGTTTTATTGATTTCAGAGAGGATAGGAGAGAGAGAGAAGATGGAAACCTCAATGTTAAAGAAACATCAATCTGCTGCCTCTTGCAGGCCTTGACCAGGAATCGAACCAGCAACCTCTTGGTTCATGGGACAACACTCAATCCGCTGAGTCATTGTATGCCTTAACTGAGCCTGTCCATTGTCTTTTTTTTTTTGAAGGTTTTTTTTTTAATTTTATGTAAAAAGATATAGCATTCTGTCATAAGGTATATGTCTTAAATGACTCATTCATGGACGTTCACTTAGTCCAACTTAACGAATCCTATGTCCTTTGCATACTCACCGAAACACTGGCGGCACAGGTTGAGGCCATATTTCCGGATCAGACCATGGAGGTTTGAGCAAACCCAGCAAGAACCTTGGCCGAATTTCCTCGGGTGGCTCCAGTAGAGCTGCTGGTGACCCATCTGACGCTCTTTGTAGCAACGAAGCAAACAGGCTGTCCATTGTCTTTTTGCATCAAAGATAACATACCTTTGGAATGTCGGGTTAAATTTTTTTTCCAGACCCCTCAGGACCCAATCTCCCATAGAGCAAGCGATTTCAGAGCTCATCATTGTTATTGTTATCACATTAATTATTAACTGTCAACTGTCCTATCCCACCTTCGTAGAAGAAGTATGTGTCTATTTCTTTTACTTTTTACCCAGTCCCAGAGAATTCCCTGCTTTGCTTTCTCCCCCTTCCCTAATCTCTCACCAGTGGATTTGATGTAACCCTCCTTTTCTTTGATTCTGATGTATAAAATAAGGTGCAGAACTGCTGTTCTGTAAAGCATTGTCTCAATCCGTTCTTATTTTGCTTCCTGGCAATTGTTTTCAGTTTGACTCAAATAAACTCAGAAAAATTCTCTACAGGTTTGGACGTATCTTAAGACGACACCAGGAACAATAGAATAATGTTCTTTTATTCTAGGAAGAAGCAGGGGGAAGCTGTAGGGTTGGGTATCAGCATTTCCTGAGACATACCTGACTGAAGACAGATTTCTGAGCAGAAGTTTAGAGCAGACCCCGAACACACCAAGACAGAGCCTCCCAGTTACCAGCTCTTTTCAGAGAACAGAAGAACATGCTCCAGGCTCAGGTGATTGGGTTTGTTTTCTCTTTCTTCAGTAACGGATTTGCAGAAGTCTATAAAAACCAACTTCATGCCCAGCTGAGTGGCACAATTGGTCTGTACACCAAAAAGGTTTCAGGTTCGATCCCCGGTCAGGGGCACATAAGGGAAGCAGCCAAAAGATGTTTCTCTCTGTGTGTCTCTCCCTTTCCCTTCCTCTCTCTCATAAATCAGTAAAATATATATATAATAATAATAAATAAATTCTTGGGTTTGGATTTAAAAAAATATACCTTCATTAATCTGGAAAAAAATATATACATATATAGTCTCAAATATATAACTTAGAATATATGAAAGGTGTTTCTAGGCTAACAAAAAAAATTTAACTTCTTTACATTATAGTAACACCTAATTGGATGAATTCATAGATGAATGAACAATTATAAAATAGTATTTTACGAGGCATGTGGTTATTCCACTGTATATAAAATAAAACCCCATTCACTATATAGATGCAGCCTATAAAGTGAAAATGATCAGAAATATAACATTTTTTCCATAGCATCTTAAAAGACTTCACGCCATTGCCCTAGCAGGCTTGGCTCAGTGGATAAAGCGTCAGCCTGCGGACTGAAGGATCCCAGGTTCGATTCCGGCCAAGGGCACATGCCTGGGTTGCAGCTCGATCCCCAGTGAGGGGTGTGCAGGAGGCAGCTGATCAATGATTCTTTCTCATCATTGATGTTTCTATCTCTCTCTCCTTCTCTCTTCCTCTCTGAAATCAATACAGAAATATATATATTTTTAAAAAGAATGTATCTGTCGAAGGGAAAATGGGGTACATCTGTAATACTGTCAACACTAAATATAAATATATACTTTTTAAAAAAAGACTTCACGCCATTAAACAGCACGGTGTTGTTACAGGAATCCCTGACATTTCACGATGTGGCCGTGGAGTTCACCTCAGAGGAGTGGCAACTCCTGGACCCCGAGCAGAAGGACCTGTACAGGGACGTGATGATGGAGACCTACAGCCACCTGGTGTCAGTGGGTGAGGACAACTTCCCTGTGTCACTCAGAGGCTGCCCTGTTAGTGGCTTTTTCCTTTCTCAGCTGCTTAACTTTCAGAATAACTCCAGTTCTCTGACATGATGCAATCTCAGATCCTTCTCTTGCCCCACGCAAGATATTATAATGTCCCCTCTCCTAATAGAAAAATTATTGTGTTAGCTGTAAAAACTGTTCATTCTCCCTTCTTGACAAATCCCACCCAATTCAGTATGTCTAAGTCTTTTGTCATTTTTTCTTTCGAAGGATATCAAGCCCCCAAACCAGACGCGCTCTCCAAATTAGAACGAGGGGAGGAACTGTGGATAGTACAGGATGAACTCCACTGTCCAGTCTTTCCAGGTGAGGGGGTGAGAGCCAGCAAGGTGGGCGGCCGGGAAGTCACATTCTAGTCAGAAATGGCATCAGAGCAGTGACAGTGAATGAGGAAACTCAAACCATTCTTCCACATATGAGAACCCGTTTTTTTCTTTGTAAAAATTTGGAATATAACATACCCCATTTGTCTCTTCTGAGCTCTGACCCATTTATTTTTTCTACTCTTGTTTTTGTTTGTGTGGTTTTCTTTGCCCTATGATTCCCAGATCTTTTTTTTTTAAATATATTTTATTGATTTTTTACAGAGAGGAAGGGAGAAGGATAGAGAGTCCAAAACATCAATGAGAGAGAAACATTGATCAGCTGCCTCCTGCACACCTCCCACTGGGGATGTGCCCACAACAAAGGTACATGCCCTTGACCAGAATCAAACCTGGGACCCTTCAGTCTGGTCAGGGCGATTCTCAGATCTTTTTTATTTCTTTATCCACAGCCACACTGTCTCTGCCTATGTTAGCACCTCTCTTGCTATGAAATTCCACTTTCCAGGCCTCTCTGGAAAGACAGAACTTTGAATTCATCACCTTTTTCTTAATATATATTTTATTGACTTCAGAGAGGAAGGAAGAGACAGAAACATCAGTGATGAGAGAGAATCATTGATCAGCTGCCTCCTCACACCCCACACTGGGGATTGAGCCTGCAACCCGGGCATGTGCCCTGACTGGGAATTGAACTGTGACCTCCTGGTTCATAGGTCAACACTCATCCACTGAGCCAGGCAATTCATCATTTTTTTCTTACGACGGGGCCTACCTGCTCTGTTGGAAAATAGTGATTTTCCTTCATAACATCCAACCCCATCTTGGATGGTGGGTCCCGTGATAACCTCATTTTCACAGTGCATTTATGTGTTCTTTGCCTTGGTCCCATCAAGGTTCTTCATACTCAGTTCTCATCAGTATTAAACATCTCCTCTATTCCCATGAGGTGACCTCTTTCTGTTCTGTGAAATGGACTCCCAAATTGACTACACCCTCAGTATTGTCTAATGGAGAATCTGCCAGAGACCTGGAAATAGAACTAATAGGTACGGGTGTCTTTAACTGGTTTCCTCTCTAAACATCTTGAGATGAGGTTGAAAACCTGGGCATGTGCCCAAACCGGGAATTGAACCATGACTTCCTGGTTCATAGGTCGATACTCAACCACTGAGTCACACCGGCAGGGCCACATCATATTTTTAATGGTTTTACTTAGATTAAATTCACAGACCATACAATTTACCTATTTAAAACATGTAATTAAATTAAATATAATTCACTGGGTTATAGTATATTGAGAGAAACACATCAGTTGGTTGCCGCCTGCACAAGCCCCACCAGGCTGTGGCCGGGAGGAGCCTGCAACTGAGGTACGTGACCTTGACTGGAATCGAACCTGGGACCCTTGGGTCCACAAGCTGAAGCTCTATCCACTTAGACAAACTGACTAGGGCTCTAATTTGGTCTTTAATTTCTTAAGTCTCATTAAAAAAAAAAAAAAAGTTTTACAGTTCCTTTTCTTAAGTTTGTTCCTAAGTATGAGACTCTCTTTTATTATTTACTAAATGGTATTGTTTGCATTTTCAGACTATTCTTTGCTAGGATATAAAAATAAAATTTATTATTTTCCCATCATGTTCAAATGACACTTCCTCCCAGGTAACCAAATTTCCTGTCATATAAAATTGCAGATTATCTTTCAGTGATCTCTGTGATACGCTATTGTCTTGATGAGAACGTTTCTGTCACCTTCCTAAACACTGTTTAATGTGTTCCATAATTGTGATTGCCTTATTTCTTTAAAATTTGCATTTAAAAAAATACATTTTGATTGATTTTAGAGAGAGGAAGGGAGAGGGCTAGAGATAGAAACATCGATGAGAGAGAAACATTGATTGGCTGATTCCTACACACTGCTTATTGGGGATCAAGCCTGCAACCTGAGCATGTGCCCTGACTGGGAATGGATCCCATGACCTCTTGGTTCATGGGTCGATGCTCAACCACTGAGCCACACTGGCCTGGCTAAAACTTGCATTTTGAGAGCCTAATATTTTTTTATTTATATATATTTTTATTGATTTTTTACAGAGAGGAAAGGAGAGAGATAGAGAGTCAGAAACATTGATCAGCTGCCTCCTGCACATCTCCTACTGGGGATGTGCCCGCAACCTAGGTACATGCCCTTGACCGGAATCGAACCCGGGACCTTTCAGTCCGCAGGCCGACGCTCTATTCACTGAGCCAAACCGGTTTCGGCGAGAGCCTAATATTTTTGAAGTTATCAGCAGTACAAAAGATAGATGCCCTGTCCAGTGTGCTCAATGGTTATAGCATTCAGGATTGGATTGCTGGTCAAAGGCATAAGTACCTGAGTTGCAGGTTTGATCCCCACCCTTAGTAGGGGGACATGTGGAAGGCAACCAATCAATTTGTCTCTGTCACATTGCTGTTTCTCTCTCCTTTCTCTCTCTCTCTCTCTTTTTCCCCTTCTCTCCTCACTTCCAATCTCTCTAAAAATCAATGGAAAGCCCTGGCAAGTGTGCTAAGTGGTTAGAGTATCAGCCCTCAAACCAAAGGATCAGGGGTTTGATTCCCGGTCAAGGGCACATTGTACCTCAGTTGCAGATTCACTCCCGGTACCAGGTCGGACGTATGGGGGAGGCAATGAGTTGATGTGTCTCTCTAACATCGATCTTTCTCTTTCTCTTTCCTCCTCCCTCCCTCTTCTACTCTCTCTGAAAAGCAATGGAAAAAATGTTTTGCCCTAGCCAGTTTTGCTCAGTGGATAAAGTGTCGGCCTGTGGACTGAAGGTTCCCAGGTTTGATTCTGGTCAGGAGCACATGCCCAGGTTGCCAGTTTGATCCCCGGTAGGGGGTGTGCAGGAGACAGCCCATCAATGATTCTCTCTCATCATTGGTGTTCCTATCTCTCTCTCCCTCTCCCTTCCTCTCTGAAATCAATAAAAATCTCTTTTTAAAAAAAATGTCTTCAGGTGAGGATTAACAAAAATAAAAAAATCAATGGGAGCCCAGCTAGTGTGACTCAGTGATTGAGTGTCATCCTATGAACCAGGTAAAAACAGGAAGTCACAATTAGATTTCTGGTCAGGGCACATGTCCAGGTTGCAGGATCAATTCCTGTTAGAGCAGTGGTTCTCAACCTTCTGGCCCTTTAAATACAGTTCCTCATGTTGTGACCCAATCATAAAATTATTTTCATTGCTACTTCATAACTGTAATGTTGCTACTGTTATGAATCGTAATGTAAATATCTGATATGCAGGGTGGTCTTAGGCAACCCCTGTGAAAG